AACACTAATTGCGAGTGAGGTTGGCTTAAACATGTGAGCATGGTGAATTTCGAGATAATGTTTATTCATTTTAGTTTCGATGACTTATTTGGTCTTGTATCATAGAACGCATAAAACATGAATGTTTTACTGCGCCCTTTTCCTTGAAGTGTGATTTGTTTTTTGGAGCATGTGAATAGGTATTTGTATAATCATTGGAAGGTCTCAGCCTTCAGAAAGATGTTTTTTGATCTGAAAATATCCTATCTAAAATTTCCTACCTGAAAAGTTGGTTTGGAAAATTAATAAGGCAACTTGTCCCTTCGCCCTCGAAAACATACCTTTTGACCAAAGAACGAATTATGTGAAATTTTGCTTCTGCCTCTGAATGGTTGCTGTATCAAATTTTTACTTGTACTGAGGTTGTTTTTAGTTAAGATGGCACCATTCCGGAGCGTGATACCAAGAAAATTTCGAAATTTGAAATCCGTGTACTACGACGAAAAAATGATTTGATCTAGTGTCTTTTCAGCCAATTTTAGAACGAAATTTCGCAGAAGTCAAAAAACCTCCTTTCGAGCGATGGAATCTGCGGTTCAGAGAATTTCATTCCTGTACATATGAAGAAATGTGACCCAAGTGATCATCTCAACAATGAAAAAATGAGTGCGTTTATAGGGAAGGAGTTTGCAAGAGACGGAGAATGTTACCCTACGAGCTATATCACATGCGGTAAGATTGATTTAACAGATAACGTGCTTTACTTATGTTTGCGAGCCCATAGCCAGAACTTGATGTTTGGAAGGGCTGTTTTAATTTTTGAAAGCAGTATAATATACCAGGCAAGGGAAACGCTCACAGCCCCACCCAAGTGTAATGCCCGTCGTGTTTGAATTTCTGTAATGAATGACGTTGTGAAGCATCGTATTTATTACTTTAAAATGTAGGCCCTCGAAAAAATTTGGGAGGGCTAACAAAATTTCAGGAGGACAAAACCTCCCCATGATTACGACCTTGTATATTTGATGATCACTCATTCGCAAGATGACGAATAGGTAATGTAATGTGTTCTTTCGCTCTGGAAGCAATTTCTTAAGGTTGCTCAGTCCACTTTTTCATTTGATGCAATGGGCCTTAATGTCACACTTGGGACAATATCGTTATAAATTCACCGTTGATGAGATGTGTACTGTTGAGGTAAAATGGTTAATCCGGAATTATTTCTTATTGCACCTTCACCGGCAGATAGCCAAATGAAACGAAGTTAAAACACGCTGACATACATTAAACATGTGCATGCATGTGCACAACTTACTAACGAATAGATCGCATCTAATCTATATCAACATTTGAGAGAGGTGCGTGAATGGACGAATGCGCTTGACCGACTTACGAGAATATCGTTGGTGGCATGGTGTTGGTAGGTGACATTGTTTTTGCCGCAACAGTCATTATGTGCTATCATCAGTTCGATTGATCAGTCATCGTTCTATAAGTGAGTAGTCTTCATTCGTTATTATTATTGAAACTATTATTATTGCTGTTGTTGTTACTATTATTCTTAATTATTATTCATATTATTACTTATTATTATTATCTTTAAAATATGGTCACTATTATCTTCATTTATGTTTCTTTTCATATTGGTTCTAAAATTGTAATCATCACTTAATATATTTGGATTCAAACAAGGAATTGGCTCGCAAGCTTATGAACAATTTTCAATTAATTTTCTCATTATTTTCATTATGATATCTTCTTTCAAACACCAAGATTATTGAATTCATTCGAATTTATTCATAAAGAAATGCTGCATTCTGAAGAAACTTATGGGTAGTGTTTTATATCAACAGTTGATTATTGATGCCGAATCATCATTTTAAGACTTTATGCAAGCCGAATTATTTATGCAAGTGTTTTCGAACCTTTACGTATGCAATGCTAAAATCAATAAGTTTTTCGCAAATGTTCATCACTGAATGAAGTAATAGTGAAATAAAAGAGAAACTGGAGAGGAGAGGGTTACACTTTACAGCCGCTTTATCACTACTGATGCTTCAGAAAATATTAATGCTGTTTGATTTTGTAACTTTATTAATCATTCCATTCTCAGAATTTGTTTGTTGTATAGGGCTCGTTAGCAATGAAATTGAGATTTGTTTTCATTAGGCATTTAAAAGTGATGTCGTAGGTACCGGAGCTAAGGCTGTATCAGCGGCCGCCGAAAAAAATTTGTCAGTTGTCAATTCCAATGGTCATCGGAACTCAGTGGCCATCAAGTTTTTAGTTAGTGATCGGCGGCTGAATTTCGGTAACCACCGACCGGAACAAAAAGAGGCTGATCGGTCGGTGGGATGGGCACAAAAGAGCGAATTGCAATAACTACTGACCAAAATTCAAAAGTTACCTTGTTGGTAGAAAAGTCACTTCCAAACACTGATATGCTGGTTCGAGAGAGGATATTTACTTGAATTAATCAATGTTTTGCATTATTCATAACGAAAAAAAAACTCGTATCATATTTTGATCGTCTTCACATTACATTGAACTCCAATGACAGAACTGCTGATTCCTGAAGGATTATTCATCATTAGTAATTTTTCGATGCCAAATTACAAGCTTTGTCTTACTATGATGAATGAAAATTCAATAAAAGATAAATTGTTGAAGAATGATTGCTTCTCTTTGGTATAATTGATTTTGTTATGCGAGGAAAATAAAATTGTTTTTTGTCATATCCATTCATCATTGAAGACATGATCACAACTTGATTCGTCTTTATGAACATCACACTAATATGAGATGAGAAGTCGAATGAATCATTTCTTGAGGTTTATTCTTACAAAACGCTCGTATAAGCGCAACAGTTGTTCTAAAGCTATCCTTCCTTTCATCCAACAATTCTGTGCACATTTTCTCTCGAACGATCACTACAACAATTTTGCAAAGCGAGTCGACTCAAACAGCCAAATACATTTGCAAGCCCCGTCAGTTTTTGCGCGCGAATCAGTCAGATGTTGTGTCATTAGGGATGCTGTCGCATTAGGGATGGATGGATCATATGTTCTGCTCGACACAGTCCCTGTCAGCATTAACTTCTCCGCCTCTAGAATGTATCATTTTGTGGTTTGCTTATTTGAAAGAGGCATCACAAATCGCTCAGCCATTAGAATTCATTTTTTCCGAAGCGAATGTTGCATTCTCAGTATTATTCGGTGCTTTTAGCCAAAAATTTGACCTTTATATTCTTTGTTTCTGCTTTATTTTCCTTATTCGGTTCTTGTAATAACTTTAAAAGCCGGTGCTGTTATTTTCATTCCATTTACTTACCAAAATGAGCTATTTTCTTGCTCAGTTCTTGGAAAATTATTGTTTTTTATATAATGCCATTGATTTTATGAAATAAACGATTTGTGGCTAGTCATGACCCCGAAAATAATGCAATTTTCACGGATTGATTCAACACTCTTGATGATAGTGAGTTTAAAGTTAGCGATACTATTTCTGTAATATTTTAGGGTTACTGTTGATTGTTTTTTGACCTATACTGATTCGTTTCTGTATTCAAATTGTATTATCAAAAGATGTACAAATATTTTTATTTCAAGTTTCATGATCAGTATTTTGAAGTGGTTTTCTTCCATGAAATTTAATGAGGCATTAATGAATTTGAAGTTGCTCTTAAGTGGTCAAACAATTATGCATTCTAAAGGGTTTATGCAATAAAAGAAACGAATTTATTCCACATGACATAAGACGATGATAGCCAAAATTATTGTATGAGACGTATGTTCGTACAGTAAAAGTATTTGATTGTATTGTAATATTAGTGACGATGATACGCCCCACCAAACAAGTTCATTGTCGAAATTCTTATGGGGAATCACAACTGGTTGTGATTTGATTTACGTTTAATTCCATCCTCCAGGGTGTGTGCGACACCCTGATGCGAGGCGAAGATGAGAATGTGGGAATATTTTGTGTGTTCGGACGATTTCAATTCAGCTACATTCATTCTTTGATTTGCACAATTTTGATATTTGCAATTTATTGCAAAATCATATTTGCGTTCTAATTTACCAATCCTTAATCAAGCGACAATTACACTCAGTCTCTCATTAAACACACTGCTCATTTATTTGAATTCAGTGGTTCTTTATATTTTGCATCTTAAACGACCCTTTAGAGGTTCAATCAAAAGTCAGTGTTTTCGTGAATCGTCGAATGCATCATCTTCACATGTTCAAGTAATCGTATCATTCCACTTATCATTTTCATTTACGATCGTTGAATATTTAGATGTTATATTGCTTAATATTAACACCAACAGCTTGATTATTCACGCACTCATCGAATGATTATTCACGCAGTCATCGAATTTTTTGCTAAAAACCCATTGCCTTTAATTCGTTACCAGCGGATTCTTTTTTTCCGTTATCCGTTTCTCTCGTTCTGAAAGAATTTTCATAAATCTGCTATCCATTTTCACGAATAGTTTTGCTCAGAACGTTAATAACTTCAACGTTCAGAACGTTGAAATTATCAACGTTTTTTGATAATAAATTTTTTTGATAATTTTCGATAATTTTTTTCCCGTTATCCATTTTCCTTCTCAGAATGTTGATAATTTGCTTAGAATGACTCACGAGCACATCACGCAGTTGCGTTTGAAATTTGTTTCTTTTTGGTTTGAATCATTGTTAAAACAGAATGTTTTTAATAAAATCCCTTAATCTGATCATACTGAAGCTATCTTATGCCATTTTGTTGCTACTTAAATCATTCATCATCAAATGGAATTTTATTATTTCTTTCTGTTTCTTATTCCCAGCTCATCATAATCACATTCTTTTATTTCTTGTTCACTTCATTCCATTTCATTTTTCTTAACGATATGCATAACTGAACACGACAAATTTTATTCATTTGCTTATTCATTCATTTTCAACGTTTTCATTAAATGCGTTTATTGTGACTGACTGAAAGCTACGATCTCAGATCAAGTTTACAGGTGATAGAATATGTGGCCGGTATTAATATGCTGCACTCTGATGATAACGAGTTTTGTGAGGGCACAGTTAAGGTCATACAATGAGACGACTGTTTTCAAGTTCATTGATGACGCATCACATCGAAGTGTTTCCGAACTCTGTAGAGATAGCCTGTTGAAGGTAACCGACGACAAAGTGGTGATATTCAGAGCGTAATATCGCGATGAATTATGTTTGGGCTGAAGCTTACACCTTCAGGCCGAGTTGTCATTGAACAGACAGGTGTTTTGAGATACGAGAGTGAGGTAGGTATCTATTAAACAAATAGATGCTTGAAGCCCAAATGTAATGCACCGCTAAATTCGGCTGTGATTATCGCCACGACATTCATTGCTTCGTTCAGTAAACAGTACTTGATATATATTTGATGTTTCATTTCACCTTTGATCGTTCCCTTGAACCTATCTCCATTGCTAATAAATCATTCTTAAAAACTCACCATTTTGCGTCACATCTCAGATGACTGATGTACAAACTTGACTCCATACTACCTGTTGTTCGTCTTTTTGTGAATTCCTCCAAAGATGGGCATTCATCAGAGTAATGAAACAATGCAATAATGTCACATAAATCAGTCTATAAGAACGCAACACTCTTGTAACGTCATCTTATTGAAAAAATATTTTTACTATTGAATTCTCACTTTTAGAATGCTCCTCCATCATAAAAATCATGTCATATTTTTCGTTCGAAGATCATTCTTTCCTGACAACGATTCAGTGAATATCAATGCTTTTTCTTATTTTTTAATCTATTTCCCAACTAATGAGTTGTTCATTCAATTCCGTCCGTTGGCCATTATTACAATAAGTTAAAATGAAACATTCAGATTGGACCATATTTATCAAATTATGACACTATTCCGGCACAGAAGCAGTTCTTCTCGGACTCATTCAGCTCAGGCGAAGCAGAGCAATTCGTAAGTCGTGATCAGGATCGATGGGTACGTGTAAAAAATATGCATGAGCACTTAAATATGACTCTATCTCATTTATTTTAAGAGCATCTTTTGAATGCGGAACGCATCAATCGAAGGAAACAGATTTGCATGAACAAACGAAAATAGTGCTCAATGTCTGAATCATTTCATCTCTATGAATGCACTTTAGGTATATCGAGCCTATGAATGCATTCAAGCGGCTGGTGAAGCCGTCTACTCCAAATCCGAACATCCTCTGCACTACTGTTTTGGGTATAATGAAGCCAGAGAGAAGACAGGTGCAACTGCGTATGGGATATGCATACCAAGTACTTGTTACACTGATCACACCAAGGTGAGTACTACCATGCAAATATCTTTCCTGCAATTCCGTCCGCAGTATCACTTATCAGTTGTAACTTAACAGCTTTTCGAATGATCAAACATCCGAAATTGGCATTCGAGATGTTTTTCAGTTACTTGAGCAATGGCGCCATCTGAATGCAACTGATAAGGATGCTATCGACTACACGTCGTGCATCAGGTCACGCCATGAACGTCAGTGGTATCAAAGAGCAGTGCCAGTCGCTGAATTCGCGCTGCATCTCACATTTGTTCTTATCGCTATAATCGCCACTATATATCATGTAAGGAACGGCGAGCAAACCAAGTGAGTGAATTGCTGCAATCCCACTCATTATTTAGTTATTCATGATCGATTTGCACATACAAACAACTAAAAGCGCACGAGCGATTCGAAAGTATGTGGAAATATGGTTTGATTCATTAATGAAAAGAGTGAGAAAAGAACAGCAAGAGGAATTCAAACATAACAATCACACGAGCGATTAGCATATCGAAAAAGTGAGAACTTTGATTTTTCATCGTTTTATTCCTTCAGTGCATTATCTCAAAGAGAATGATAAACCACAAAGCGACAAAGAAAAAAAGTTTTCACTGATAATAACAATAAAACAACAAAGTAATTCGCCTTTACCTCGATTATATAACAACAATTTGCGACAAATATCGATGAATTTTTGAATGGAAACAGTCGCCAATTCCACAAATTTTTGATGCAAATTCGTGAAGGTGTTGAACTATCATCAATGGAATCAACTCAGATTGATCAATCAGCAGTTAAATTGCTACTGATTCATTGAATTACCCTGAACAGTACTTGAACCTTTCGATTATTTAAAACCGTGTTCAGTTCTCTTGTCTGAAGTATTTCACTTCCTGTTAGCAAATTTAGCGAATAGGACATTTTGGCGTCGTTGTTTTGATATAAGGATGCTTCAGCGCCACACACAAGATCCTTCGAGTACATTGCTTTGGACAATTAACAAATTTTTAATCAGATATATAAAAACATACGATGCTGATTGAATACGCATCCAACACGTTAAGGAAAAGTAAGTAGTGAAGAATTGATAGCATTCAATAAATAAAATGATTAGAATTAATGAAATGCGTAAATTCTCATAGGTTATTTCATTAGATGAGGTAAAACAACGAATTTTGATATAGTTTGATAAAAGAATGAGAATCTGAAATTTACGGTTAAAATGAAGGGTGTTAAATCACAGAACTTTCTTCCACTTTCCATCAAAAATTGGATCTCACGAAAAAACGTTTCAGAAAAAAAAAAGAAATGCGAAACTACCGCTTAAATTGATTCCATATGACAGCAGTCACTCCCTTCAAGTCCAGTCTAATTTCGACGCATCACTAAATTGAATTTTTCTGAAATTGTTCCTCAGGAAAATTAGCCACCAGTGAAGGAGTGGGATGCTTGAAAGGCCTTACTCAGTTGACTCAGTAGAATTATTGAGATGAGGATTTTCATGATCATTATTGTCACAACTAGGGCTTATGAGGTCAGATTATAAATATCCATAATTCCAAATCTGAAACTTTTGTCAAATGTTTTGATTCATTTCTGAATGTTTCTATTAATAATTTCACTTATCGTTTAATCAGGCACTATTTCAATCGGACATTAATGGCTTTACTTATCGTTTCATCAAAAAACGCGATGAAAGTTATCGTCATTCCTTTCTTTATTTTATCTCACACCTCGATTCATTTACTTTTTTGAGATGTCTCCAAGTTCAATGGAGAAATTTTCCATTTATTTGTTGGATAATAACCTGTTTTTCATTTTTATTCCACGTTATGATCGCTAATCAAATTATTTATGGGAGCTTATTAGTTATAATTGCACTGATTCTGAGCGCAGTTATCGAATGAAGCAATCAGCTGTATTAACCTTTTTCAGGTCAGTATATGTTCAGGTACTGCTCGCGTTCTCGGTTAAGAAGAATTTTAAACGTCTCATTCAGATGCCGAAAGATCCACAGTCGACAATCACTTGTATGTTTGGAATGCGTTTCCTCTCGATGGCATGGACTCTTTTAGGTCATTCATTGATATTTGTACAGGTAGAGTTTGCCACTGTTGATTCGAGAACAATGCAGTAAACTTTTTTTATTTCTTTTCAGCTGTAATCGAAAGAAAATTTCCATCCAGAATGTTAATGATTTTCTTCACTCAAGCTCTTCCACAACGCATCTTTAATATATCAATTGAAAAGCGAAAGTAATCGGTTCACCAGTAAGGATGATTGTTGTTATAGGTATATATGGAAAACGTACAAGAATATAAAGATGATATGGTTGATAACTTTTATAATCAATGGATAACGAATTTTACACTCAGTGTTGATACCTTTTTTGTTTTGAGTGCAACTCTTACTGCATTCACATGGTTTAAAAAACTGCAAAAAGGTGCAATTGAATCGGAACCAACATGGACCTCATGGGGTTATTGGTTACGTTACTATCGCCATCGTATTATCCGTTTATGGCCAGCGTACATCTATGTGTTGGTCGATATAGGTCTAAGAGCCTCCGTCCAGCATTTTCATCCCATGTGGCCACCAACCGATCCAGCTGTTCAGTGTCCCGTCTATTGGTGGCAAAATGTTTTGTTCATCAATTCTATTCTTGATAATAGGTGTATGCCATGGACGTGGTTAGTTTTTCATCCGAATCGTTACTCTAAAATTTAAATGCACATCTTGCAGTATGCACACATATCAAATTTCTCTTCAGGTATATCGGTACTGAATTCATTTTTTATTTGTTATCACCAATATTTTTATTAACGCTACGTAATAAACCACGAGTTGGTTTCGCTTTGGCCATATCAACAATACTTATCTCATCAGCTTTAAATGTTATTGGTATGATCACTTGGAATTTTCCACCAACTCAGTTGCTTTGGAAGCAACCGCAAATTTTCAGTGCAGATTTTATACAAGTGCGTTTTATCTTATTTATCAGTGCTGAGCACTTCCCACTCTTATTTTGTCTTAAACATGTTTTCCTTTCAAAAGATCAATACAGCCAGATCGAAAGTACTTTGCCTTACCTGTAATGAACCGTATTAAATTTCAGCATCACCTTGTCATGTATATCAAACCATGGTATCGTATTGGTCCGTATATAGTGGGTCTTCTTCTTGGCTATTATCTAGCTGGAATTCATTATATAACACAATCGTCTTGTGATTATAAGCAGAATAGTATTTCGAGATCGGAAAAACAACGTTCAATGCATTTTATTATCGGTGGATGGTCGTTAGCTTTCGTTGCTGGTTTTTGGGCCATTTTTGGCCTTTATCCATCTCTTCAGGGTTGGGACTGGCCAATTTATCATTTGGTGTATGGTGCCATTCATCGAACGGTATTTGCATTGTCAATGGCATGGCTCATTTATGCATGTCATACAGGTATTGGTGGTGTCATAAATACGATTCTCAGTATGAAGATCTTACTTCCTTTCTCGTCACTTTCCTATTCGGTTGGTTTTTTTAAAGATATTCTCGGTAGCATTTCCATTTTATGGTCAAACCTCCAGCTAATTTTTCTGTAATTAACTATTTCAACTTGAACGAATATGTGATCTTTTCATTTTGATTACACCAAATAATACCATATATATAT